GGCACATCCCCAGTGGGGAGTGTGCAGGAGGCAGCTGATCGATGTTTCTAACTCTCGATCCCTCTCCCTTCCTCTCTGTAAAAAATCAATAAAATATATTAAAAAATAAAATAAAAAAGTCCCAAAGGCCCGGCCAGCATGGGTCAGTGGTTGAGCCTCAACCTAGAAACCAGGAAGTCATGGTTCAATTCCCGGTCAGGGCACATGCCTGGGTTACGGTGCAGATTTGATTCCCAGTGTGGGGTGTGCAGGAGGCAGCTGATCAATGGTTATCTCTCATCATTGATGTTTCTATCTTCCTTTCCCTCTCCCTTCCTCTCTGATATATTAAAAAAAAATAGTTTTTTTTAAAAAAAGTCCCAAAGTACACAAACACAAGGGGACAAGTCCATGTGATTATGTGAATAATTAAAAATCAAAGATGTGCCCTAGCCGGCTTGGCTCAGTGGATAGAGCGTCAGCCTGCGGAATGAAGGGTCCCAGGTTCGATTCCGGCCAAGGGCACATGCCCGGGTTGTGGGCTCCACCCCCAGTGCGGGGCATGCAGGTGGCAGCCAATCAATGATTCTCTCTCATCATTGATGTTTCTATCTCTCCCTCTCCCTTCCTCTCTGAAATCAATAAAAATATATTTTAAAAAAATCAAAGAAGAAACAATACAAATAGTTGAGACAACTTCAAATCAATATGAGCAATTCAAATTTGCTGTGGAGGTGAGGGAAACCTGTGGAAATGGCGATCATGGAGAAGTGATTAAAATAGTGGAGCCCAGCAATTATTCAAAACTGCGTTTATAAACAGCAACAACTTGGAAATTATAGGATAGTGGGGAGTAATGAGAGGGAAGACCAATGAGAATGGGCTTGGTCCAGATATACAGGCCCTGTGAGAGGCCTGTTCCATTACATTATAAAATTCGCTACATGGGAGAGGAGGGCACAGAAACAGTGAATGAAATGACTTTAAAACCCAACACACATAATTACTATTATGAGATTTGGCTTCTTACTTTTTTTTCTTCATTTGCTTATTTTCTTATCTCTCTCTTTTCTTGCTTTTGTCTTTCTGTAGAGTCCCTCGTCCATCTTTAGGATCCTCGTTCAGAAATCTTCTTTGCTTGCTCCGCCTGTATCTTCCTCCATAACGTTCATTTATGTTCCTCCAATAATGTTCATTACTTATCCTTTATCGTGCTGTAATTTTCCATTTTTCTCACTGCATTCTTACTATGCAAACCAAATCCTGATAGCCCATCCTAAATCCATTTCTCAGCTATTTCTCTACAAGCTCCTTGGTTTACAACTCTTCTCCAAGAAACTAATAATATCCAATTTTTCTTTACGTATTAACACATTTTCAAATATTTTCTTTCTCCTCAAAATGTTCCCACCTCCTTCACCACTCTTGTTTCCTTTGGTCTTCGTCTCTGCCTTCAACCCCGGAAGCTCTTCATTCCCGCTGTCTTAGGCTTAGATGCCTCCTTCCCTCTCTCACATTTACTCTTTCAGGGTAAATAATGTCCTGCTGGGCCCTCATTTCTCCTCGCTGACTTGCAATACTTCCTCTAACTGCTTCTCTTCCCTTCTTTAGCTCCAGTCCTTCATCTGCCTCATTCACCTGTAACTTCCTCTATAGCCTTTCTTTCCCATAGGAACAGATTCATCCGTAATGTCATTCGCTCCACCAAGACATCCTCCTCAGCTTCCGCCCCGTCCTCAGGCTCCTCGCTCATCACTCCCTTCCACCCTTTGAAAAGGAATTTCTATCTCAGCGCCAGTATCTCTTTCACGACCACGCTCTCCGTTTTCTCTTCGCTTATGCTCCCTGTTCCCGAGCCCTTCACATTCTCCCCTCTGGATCGCCTCTTCTCGTTCAACCACAGCTTCCCTCCACTGATGCTCAGCTTCTCCCCATTCCGCCTTGGTTGGTACCCTCGGGATCTCATGTCCTCTCTGCTGGTCTCCGCCCCGGGAAACCTCGGCGCCTCTTTCAGCCCGGACGGCCTCCTCGACCCCGTGGGAGTCCCCGCGCTCCCAACGTCGACCCTGGTTTTGCGGCGGACTTCTGTCCTCGCCCACGCTTCCTTCGGGCTCTCCGTCACCAAGCCCGCGGAGGAGTGTAACACGCTGGCCATCCGGTGCAGGAGCCGCACGTTCCTTTCCTGACTCAGGCCCGACTTCGCTTTCCGGACCGTTTCATCTTCCAGTCCCTGGGACTTCGTCTCAGGCTTCGGCTTCCTAGGCTTTTGCTTGTTTCTACCCAGAAGCTCCATTTTCTTGCCAATCACGATGAGCCCGTTCCAGGGGATCCACATTTTTTCTCGCACCGGCGACCCTCTGCTTCCCACCTCCGGTAAGAAGCACACGCGGGCCGGGGCCTGGCCTTGGGTGCCCAGGCCTCGGGCCTTGCCGCGCCCCCTCGCCTCCCAGTGCGGCTTTCCCCGCTGCTCCCTCGGGTCCCAGAGCGGAAATCCAAACGGAAACCCTTTCTCCACAGACATTAGTCCTTGCCCTCCCTCCCCAGCTCCCC